CTGATCAAAGTTAATAAACTGACACTTGTGATAAAAGGACAGAAAACTAAATAGAAATAAGTTTATTTATATTTTGATCGTTGAATTCATGAATTGATCTAAGTTAGACCATCAAGGAAAACCTGAAAGCACTGGATGACCGTTTCGTTCTAATACGAGGACTTTTCAATAGTGTGTATCCCCGATGTCACACATGGGATTGGACCAAGAATATATGGTCTCGCGCGCAAACGGTTTACCTCATAAAGTCGATGTATCTTCATTTTTTCAAGGGAAGCAAAAGTGTTCAGTTAAAAATAATAGGAATTTATCTATTTATCATGTTAAGTTCAGATTTTTGTTAGCTTTGAATAAATCAAAATCTCTAATAGCTATTTATTTCTTTATTTCTCATTTCCTTTTATTTCTCTAATAAATTACAAACAGAAATATAGGCCAATTTGTTATTATTTTAATCATTACCATGGTTATAATATTGCTCATAGCTATATGAAATAACCATTATTTAATGTGGAAAAAAATACTATATTTATTTATGGGTTCAGCTCTATGAAAAAACACCATTTATGAATCTGACAAAAAAATAATAGTGTACTATTAGTTCCAGTAAAAGCATTATGATAGAATATATAAACATTTATATATTAAAATATAGAATAAATCCTAAACTAATATGAAGATCTTTGTAATCGTAACGCTACTTAAACATACTGTAGAATGAAACAGTACACTTCCTTTATATACAATAAACTCTAAGAATTCTAATTTCTATAACAAATAAAGTTTTTTCAGGGAACGGTGACTAGTAGCTAACAGCGGAGTCCAGGGTTCGCGTCTCGTCCCATTTGGGACTCGTCACTTAGATGTACCTGCATCCCAGTGTTGAAGCTCACTCTGGGGTTCAAACCCAGTATCGTTCGCTTCAAACGCCATCGCCTTATTCACCTAGCGACTGAGTCCTGATAGCCAACTGCTTGTACAATAGGGTGAAGTTTGAATTCACTTGGTGTTGTTTGTTTGTATCTTCCTATTAATTAGAATTCATGGAATTATCAAATATTAAATTATTATGTGATGAAGCAACCGACAAGAGATTAATGGTAATAAAGAAAGATGTGATTTAAAATCAGTCATTTATGAATTGAAAAAAAATAACAGTGACATAATCAAACTTCAGAAAGAGTTGAACTAACGAATGACGCAATAAAAATTATGTAGTACTACCTTTGTTGTTTACCTGTAATTTCACTTATTTTCGAGAATGTAAAACATTCTTATAATTTTCTTAAAAATCATAATATGCACTTTATGTTCTGAGTCTGTTGATGACTGTTACAACTTTATATAGACTTATGAATGGGCTTTCTTGTTCACGCGTGAAGATATCTATCATATAGCTTAGACAGCAAGTTATTTATTCATTCAGGTGACAATCTAAAAACGTCATTAGATTTTATAGTGTTGTTCGTATCTTATTATTAGATTAGTAGTTGGTTAACTCGTAGTATGACAATGTTAACGTGGAAAACTTTCACATAATAACGTCAAACATGTTGACCACAATGATACAAATAATCTGATTTATCATTAATTTAAATTTGGTCCTCCTGTGTTGGTTTAAATGTTTATCTCCTTATAATCTATTATCATAAAAGGCAATATCGCACACCTAATTAAAAGTTATGAGCATAATGTGATTAGGTAATGAAGTTACATATTGATATGTGTTGAAATACATTATGAATCTATGTATTAAAGAAATGACTACTGTTTTCTAAATGTTTTCTCTTCAAATACCTTGATTGATGTAGTAAACCTTTTCGTTTATCTAGTTTTCATGATTTATCTTATTTCATAACAGTAAAGTTGTTTTTTTTTTCTGTGGATAATTGTTTTATTTGTAAATTAGAAATAATCAAAAGTCAACAGAATGTAATTTACTTGAATGGATTGTAATAAGAGATTAATTTAGTATTTTTATTTGAATGATTTAGAAGTTTGTACAGGCACTACTTAACAAGTCTTATTGATAATATGCAACAATGGTATAAGATATACTGATAAAATATAAATTCTATTTAAAAATGTAAATCATTTAATATTACGTTGGTAAATTCATTTGACAAGAAGTTATAACTGCAATCGTTTACTGAATCCACCTGAAATCTTGAGAGAAATCAATGGTTCATATAACATTCGAGCACATATTACCCAATTTCACAAATAAATGTTGTCATTAAGCTACTTAGGCAATGACTGACATTCTTCAAGACTGAAATACTTATTCTGGTTGTTAACTTACATTGGATACTATTCAATAATCAGTCAATGTGAACAACTTTGTTTAATCTCTGCTGATTACTTACAAAAATCTTAATTTATGTATACATGTAATCAGTGATCAAATTATACTAAACTTTCTGTAAGAATTAAAACTTAAGTTTTTGATTGAGATCATGAACTGATTAGTGTTAGATCACCATTGAAAACCTGGAAACATTGAATGACAGTTTCGTCCGATTGTTGGACTCCTCAGCAGTGCGCACCCACGATCCCACTCGTGGGATTATTTGGGTTTACTTACTGAGAAATTTATTTTTACTATCTTGTCTATTTATTTATATTTCAGAAAAACAATGCCATTAGTCTGTCATCAGCAATAACGTACAAACTAAAACCAAAAAACCAAATGCATTTGTAAGTAATAGTGTGACATATATATGACAAACAACTTATAAATAATAAAGAAGTTATAATTATTTTAATTTATTAAAATGGACAAAATGAAAATCAGAAATATAGTCAACCACCTCCTACTAGTTTATTCTACGTGACAAATGAGTAAATAAACTAACTGTAAAGGAGAAAAAGGGATTTGTAAATGAGAAACAAGAAGGCGATCAACAACAATAACAGAAGCAATAACCTTGATTAAAAAACTAAGCTAAGAAATATGTAATAACAGATTAGTTAACATTCGGTTGGTAATTCTGCTTTATTTCAGCTCTTATGTTTTATGTTTCATATTATAGAAAGATATATCATACAAATCTGATATTATACATATATTAACATTTTCATTGGACAGGTTTGGAATAATTGATTTATCCTCTATGCTGTGAATAATAAGGATACAAGTTAGACTGAAAGCCAGTTTAATCAATAATCATGTATATTAGTGAGTATGTGTAATTGCACTTAGCTAACTCATAGTTTATATATATAGTTGGATATATAGATAGAAACTTATAGAGATTTCATATAGATGAGAAAAATCTTTTACTTCTGACGGACATATTATAAATCATACGTTCATAATTGAGTTATAATTCAGTCATACAGCTTTCAGTGAGCTCATTTATTCTTGCCAGATACAATACAAAGCTAGACATCTAACTTATACTTTATGTATGTTGATATGATTATAGAAATATGAATATAATTAACTTTGAACACTTTCACAAGAATCATTCATTAAATCAACAAACAAAACTATAAAATATAACAGTATCTTTAATAATGCAGATCTTTTAGATGTTTCTTTGTTTTATGATAAGGCTATTTCCCACTAGTTTATCATCAATCAATCAGCTTTCAAACTATCTATTAATATCACTATGCTTTTCTTATAACAATAAATGATGAGATTTTCTTGCTTCTGTTCTATATGTAACTCTATGATCACTTTTACATTTCACTATAATGATAAAGTTGGTTTTATCAGATTAAATCATTTTTCAAGTGGTATAACCAAACTTTAGATGATACATAAGAATCATTCTTTATTTGAAATTAATAGTAAAAAAGTGATTATAAGCTCATTGTTAATAAGAAGTAAATAGTTCTATACGAAGAAAATGAACTAAATATAACATGAACATGTTAATTAGTTACTTCACTGTATGCAAATACATTTCATTCATTCTTATTAAACTTAAAACGTGATATATTCACAAAATAATTGCTAGTTTATTTACACTTTCAGAACAAATTATATTAGAAGGAGTTTTGTGGAGATTTTAGTAATTTCAATAGTTCAAATTATGAGTCAATTGAAGCTAAATCACCATGGAAAACCTGGACGGCAATTTCGTTCTAGCATGAGACTTCTCAGCAGTGCGCATCTACGATCCTGCCTCTCATGAGATTCAAACCCAGGACCTATCAGTTTCGCGCGCGAGCGCTTAACCACTAGGATATCGAGTTCAAACTGTACTATGATGGGAAGTATGACTGTTTTGTTATTATTGCCTACCTTAATGATATCAGTAGTTAAAGTAAACTAACTTATCACAATGGTAATCAATTATTAATGAGTTAATATATAGAATAGGTCATGTAACATTCTTTAAGCTTTACATTCTTTTTTTGACAATAAATAAGAGTTGAATTATTTATTTGGCTGAATTACATTTTAGTTAGATTGCATTTCGTTTTTGTTGTTGTTATACATTACTACTCTGTCCAGTTCTTTTTTTCTTTGAAAATATTGTAAGCCGATATATATATTGATTACGAACCGTTTATTTTATTTAAGATTGTGATAAATCAGTTTTTTATTGCAGGAGACAACTTTAACTTTGTATTCGTCTCGAGAGAAAAAACTGTTTTCTTTAATAATTCACTTAATTAATCTTTTTTTCAAAACATTAAGTAAATCTCAGTTACAGTTTAGAATAGGTAACCATTTATGTTACTGAGCACATAGCATCAGAAATGGATAAATATTACAAAATAGAAGATATTTTATTCAAATCTAATCTCTTCATTCTGATATGTTCAGTTAATCGATAAAAATTGAAACTTTCTTACTTGTTGACGATTAAATTATGATAGTAATATCTTAGAGATCATAGAATGTGAAGTGTGTTTTTAATCAATATCATTGATTCAAAATATCCTTTAATTATTAATTAGATAAAACTATTTTCTAGGTTTTAAAATATACAATTTAATATATTGTAAGGGATATCTCTTTATAATGAAGCTTTATTACTTACTTTGATCTTCTTCTAAACCTAAATTTAAAATTGCTCGATGTATTGCATCAACACTATTCACACCTAATAAATCCAATGTTTTGTTTAATCGATTAGATGTACTTGTTCCAGTAACATTACTAGAAGGATTGTTGTATTTACCAGAAACCTCTTCAGTTGATTTAAGTGTTCTTTTCTTAGGTGAATGATGTGAATAATCTTTACTTGATGATAAAGCAAGTGATAATAAAGATCCAGTAATATCATTAGTGGATGAAGTATGTTGAAGTTCTTGTATAAAATTTTGTTCTGCATTTTGAGTACGTGTGATAAGTGATTGAGATACCTAAAATGTAAAAGTATTTGAATTAAAATAACTATATACTTAAATATTTTAATAGATGATCAAGTAATTGATTTACTTTTACACATTCTCCATATGATATTTAATCAATATGGCTAGTCTAAGACAATGGATATTTATTGGAATAAACATTGATAATTATTGTTTAATATAAATTAAAATTATATTAAAATGTCATAATGAAAATGTCAAAAAAAGTATTATCTAATTTGTATTCAACCTGTAACAGATATATTTGATATCCATGTGATCTGTAATAAACAGTGTTATTACCACCTAGTAACAGCAATAATGTATTCTATCAATAAAGAATACTAATATATATATGATTAATTATTGCAAACTGTAAACATCAGTATTATTTATCAGGAAATTAATGATATATTTAACTATTGAAATGCCATTGATATATATGCTTATTTTGTTAATATTCAAACATATTAGTACAGACAATAAAAATTGTTTAACATTGAAAAATCAACTGAACTTCTCAAACATTTTCCAGTATGTACAAATATTTCACATCCCAGAGAACATTATGAAATCAATAAACCGATAGTGAGAGACTATTTACAAAATATTTTTTATATAACTATATTTCTCAATGGATTATTATTTCTGAATATAATTTTCTTAGGAAAATACTGGATATATCACAGTTAATGGTCAAATGTTGTAATGTTTTATTAGGTTTTTTCTATTACTTTCAATGAGGTAGGAGGGGTTTTATTTCAACAACATTCGAGATGAATAAGTTTGATTTACAATCCAATAACTCGTACTCTTTTAACTACTCATGTATCGAGGTGAAGAAGAAATATGATATGGAGCTTAGGCAGAAGTATTTTTTAAATACAGATTTGAACAATTTCATACTTCCGACTTCATTTTTTATACTTCACAAGCTATAAATTAAGTAGCCACACTTTCTGAAATATATATATCCTCGGAATTATTAACACTAAGCAGATTAAAATTATTCTGCCTGTTTATTAATTTGAAGCTCGAAAACATACTCTGTGTCTACTGAACTCAAATTTGTATCTGATATTCTGGTACATTGTAGTTTAACGCTTCTTCAGAGATAATTCCAAGGGAATTTGAATTTTGGCCTTTATAATTCATATCATTTCAAACCAATAATTCTCATATTAAATCACAACTCATGTTTTATTCATAACGATCAATTAATTCATTTAAAGAAACAAACTGACAAGTGTTTTAACGTTGTTGGATGCCGGCTCAGTTGTCTAGAGGTCAGGCGTTCACGCTCGTTACCGAAGGTCCTGGGTTCGAGTTTCGTATGCGCGTCCGTGGATGCGCTCTGTTGAGGGGTCCCATACTAGGATGAAGCGACCGTACAGTGCTTACAGGTTTTCAAAGGTGGTCTAACCTTCAATCAAAACTCAACAATCCCCACAACCCTATACTGATAAATAGCTTACATATTTAGTATTCAGAAAATAATCTCTTTTACTTCATGAGTAGTGTACCATAACAAAATATTTTTGGTTTGTTAGTCATTACTTTTTCCATTAACTGGTATTTGTTTTCTTCTGATTAAATATAATTCCAAAGGTTCACAACAACAATGAACTATAACTTATTAACTCAGCTATTCTAAAGTGATTAATTCAATACTATTCATAATTAAAACAGTAAAGTTTTTTAACTCATTTGCCGTTGTTTGTTTGAATCTTCTTATTGGTGTTTGGGACTGCGATTGGCCGGTCGCTTATTGACATATGTGCATCCTTTGTGGGTTGTTTTGATACTTCTAGCCACTATCCATCTTTGTTTATAATACTTGTGAATTAAGGCAATATCGAGGCAATCCCTACAGTATGCACATATGCCAATAAGAGACTGTTCGATTGCCGTCTTAAACATCAGTGAGGAGACAAATACAAACAATACAAAATGAATTTAAACTACACCTCATTGCACAAGCTAGTGGCTATCAAGACTCAGTAGCCAAGTGGATAAAGCCGTAGCATTCGAAGCAAACGGTAATGGGTTCGAGTTCCAGAGTGAACATCAACTCGGAGATGCAGGTACATCTAGGTGATGAGTCCCAAATAGGAAGAGACGCACGCCCTGGATTTTATTGCTAGCCACCATCAAACTTTGCTTAGTAATGTTTTCTGATGACTTTAACCAAATATGAGATAATATGGTAATTAGAAACATGAATATGTTATGAAGAATTAATTTACCAAAAGAAATGCGGACGGATCACTTTCTTTAAGCATTTCTATACAAAATTGAATAAGACCAGTTGATTTGGTTAATAATGATGTGACACGATTAATTTGTTCCTTGAGACAATGAATACGTTTGCTTCTTTCGTCTCGTAAACGTTCTGTTAGTTCTTGTTTTTTTGTTTCAATAGCAGAAATCAATGTGTTTAGTTGTTCAACAAGTTCTTTTTCTGAATCTGCAAGATTTCTCTGCAAAAAAATAATTTGTGCAGAGTATAAAACACAGTTATTGAAAGTTAAATAAATAAGTCTCATTAAAAATTTCACTGATTGTCAACTGGGTCAGTGAATAGTTTTTTTTGTGTTGAGCTACGGATTATTGATTAGTATAATTGATACCCAACTGATGAGCCACAAGCTTTATGCAAGACCCACTTATTTCCAACTGATTAACTGAATGGTATCACTAAAATATTACATAACAGTTTATCGCTTTTATACAAGTGAATAAATCTGCATTAGACTACAGGGTTTCATGAACTTTCATATATGTTTACATTCAAGAATGAGGAAATATTTTTAAAAAAAAGCAATGATTTAGGAAACTCATTTTAGTGATCATCACGTTATCACTCTTTGGCTTACCTGATTACGAAACCCAACTATTAACCAAATCTTCAGTTATTTTAATGATTTTCCGAGGGGTTTGAGTTAGTACAGAAGATTAAACTTTACAAATGTGTTCATTGTACTATTAATCATCTGGATACTAACAACTAACTTTGAGATGAAATGCTAAAGTTCTAGTGAGAAGTTATGACAGTAAAGTAAGACTGTCATTCAATAAGCTTACCAAATAACTATTACACTATATTGTGTGCTGATAGACTGGAAATGTGAAATATGGAGTTTCAAATTAATCATCTATTAAGAATTCCCTCTTCGTGTAAGTAACAGGTCCTTGAGAGATGGCAAGTATAAAAAGCTAAGAAGTCACGAACTAGAATGAAACACTTATTAAGCGGATATCAGAATATAAAAGAATCGATTCCTCAATAGCAAATAATAAATAATGTATACATAAAAATTTTGTTTACTCTCTACTTAGTGCATTTTATGTTCAAATCTTCATATATGATATTAATTAACTTAGAAATAACTTCTGAATAAAGTCATTAAGATAACAAAAAAAATTACACTAAATTAAATTCAGTAGTTGAGATCATGAGTCAACTGAAGCTAGAGCACCTTGGAAAACTTGTAAGCACTGAAAGGTCATTTCGTCCTGTTGTGAAACTCCTCAGCAGTGCAGATCCACGATCCCTCCCCGTGGGATTCAAATTAAATTCCTCTAATAACTAGTGAAAAAAAAAGCTTACAAACGTATGAATATACTAGTTTGTCAAACCCTCTGCTAATCAGTAGCTGAAACAAGTATTAATAACGCAATACAATAAACACTCAAACTTTGAGCATCATTAACTCGCGACACTCTTTATTCTAAGGAATGTATTGACATATTTCATCGTAAATGTTAGTAATATACATATGGTGGTTTTTTAAACATATTTTAAAAAAATGATTTCATTGTTAGTGTTTTATCAAACATTTTCCTATCTTCACTTGGTATTGTTTGGCTTGTATCTTCCCATTGAGGTTTAAGACCGTAAATGATCAGTCTGTTATCGGCATATGTGTACACTGTGCATATGCCTCGATATTGCCTTAATTCACAAGCTTTTTGTAAGCAATGATGGATAGTGGCTAGCAGTGGAATCCAGGACGCGCGTTTCATCCGATTTGGAACTCGTCAGCTGGATGAAACGCGCGTCCTGGATTCTACTGCTAGCCACTATCCATTATTGCTTACAAAATTTTCCTATCTTATCTACAATCACGTTAAATGTTTTCCGTAAAAGGAAAAAATAATTTTTTTAGAATTTTCACTATTTGAAAATTATTCATTAATTTTGAAACCCAATGAATCAATCATTTTCTTGTGTTTAGTTTACATTTTATGAAATTCAAAATCAGAAAACAAAATTATTTTTGTAAAATAAATTTCAACAATTAGATAAAATATAGAAAAACATAGAGCTAGATGATTCAAGTTATTTAATGGGTAATCATGATTTCAATTTTTATGTCCATATTTATCTTTTGACATATATCTTTGAGTTGATGAATTTTAAATGATATCTGAACTGTGTTTTCGTGTAATTATTAAAATATTCTCATGTATTGAAACAGACTTAACGGCCGTCCAGTTCTTCCAGGTTTTCCATGGTGATCTAGCTTCCATTGATTCAAGATCTCAGCTAATGAGATTTCTAAAATCTCCACAAAACCCCTTCTGATAATAAGAAATGCTTTCTTTTTCAAGCTCTTTGGAAATAAATGAGAACTACTATTGCGTAGTTTATCAGTAGCTATCTTAAGGTTTTTAATCAGTTAATCTACATTCTCAGAAAAGTTATTTTATAGCTTTTGATTGATAACCTTTGGTAAGTAGTAAGAGTGAATAAATATCAATAATAACAAATAATTACTAGTCATAGCGCAGGGATAAAACTAGGTGTAAGGAAACTTATACGAAACAGAAATGTATAACGAACTGAGTCGTCAAAATTTACAGCCCACTAGTTTTATGGTGTAAAGCCATTATTTAGTCGGAACTCTTTGGCACTTTCAAGTACATTCTGAAAAATTTATATTCTGGGTTCATTAAGAACAACATGATTAATAAAGTGGAGTTAAATGATCTAAACAATCTATGCAACAAACAAGGTGATACACATCTGCGAACCACTGGCACTGATCACCAGTAATACATATTTTATCGAAGTATTTTAAAAAATTTGTCTGCTAGTTTCACCTTATTATCTTGCCTAGTTTTTCCTGATGATGAGTATCAAAAAATCTCATGATGAAACTTCATAATCGTGTTTTACCAGCTTAATTCACATGTCAAATTGTAGATATTACTATATAATATTTTGACCATCTTTCACCCCCAAAAAATATATTTACATCACGATCATTTTATTTGAGTAACTATTAAGTCAATATGTGCTGTTTAGTTAAAAGCATTATACACTTATGATATTTTGCTCTGTTTTACTCACATAATATCACCATACATATTAATTAAAATTAGACAAGTTAAATAAATAATTGACCATCAAGTGACCATTATCTCATCAATTAATCAGTTCTCATTTTGTATAAAATGTGTTGATAAATAGTGATACATATGACTTGTTTACTTTCATGCTTTATCAGTAAAATATTTACCCTACTTTTTATGTATAATCAAACAAATTGTTTATTTTATGGAAACTTCGAGAGTTAGGTTAATTGAATCAGGATATAGAAATAGTCTAAACGTAATCATAAAATTATACGATAAATTTTTATTGTAAGGGGATCATAGAGATCGTTAAAAATTTAGGGTTAAACGATTTACCTTTTAGTTGTGAGTGCTTACTAATGAGCAGTCCTATGCAAGAACAAAACAGCGGTCCAACTTTTCTTGACATACAGTAGTTGTCTAAATAAAATCAGTCCATGATTTAGATGATAAATGGTTTATTTACCTAAACGTTTGTGCTGATATTTTTCCCCAGAGAAGCCATGAAAGACCCATGATGAATCATCCGCTTTTCTAATAGTTATCTTCATTGTTTACTATCTATCAATTTTAGTTACACCACGGAGTAATATTTTAGGCGACATCACTAAATCTACTAAATATTCTAGTGTTCATGAAGTTGTGTTGGGTTGCAATGGAAACTACATTCAAATCTCAACTATTTTTCATGTGATCTCAGCTTGTTCACTAACTTATGTTAACCCTTGTGGATAAGCATAGCCACAGACCAGGACTCTCCAACCAACACTATTCTGGGTTTTCCCTTCAAGTTGTTGCAAAATATTGTTCTTTTTTATATCTATCTTCGATTCCAAGCCAGCGACTTTCCTTGTCCCCCTGAGGATTTCAATTTAGGGCTTGCCTCATGATGAAGTTTGATAATTTTCTCGATGTATGTTATATCCATCTCCAGTATCTCTTCTTAATTTTCTCTTCAGTTGAAGACTGGTTTGTACTCTACTAGAGTAGATTGTTGCTGATGATGTCCGGCAAATAGATCTTGTATAGACAAGTGTTTCTAAATACCCGTACTTTTTTGATGATAGTTGTGATAGATCTCAAAGTCACAGTTGCGTACAATAGAATTGTCTTGACGTTTAAGTTGGAAATTCTGACTTTTGATCAACTAATAGTTGTTTAGTGTTCCAGATCTTCACTTGTAGGAATGCTGCCGTTACTTTGCCAATCCATGCCTTTACATCTGTATCATATTCTGCTTGTTTATCAATGGTGTTGCCTAGGTACGTGAAAGTCTCCACCTCTTCCAGAGATTTCCCATCAAATGTGATTTGGTTGGTATTCGTTGTGTTATACTTTAGGATCTTGTTTTTTCTTTGATGAATGTCTAGACCTGCCTTCAGCCCCCGAATACCCTGGTACGGCCGAGCGTGGGGAGAGTCCGCTCTCCCTCTCAAAATGCTCTCACACGGTCACGTGCATGCAAACAATGCCTGGAAAGTTCTACTCATTGTCTTCTTGTGGTGGGTGTTGGTTACGAAATTGTGATGAGGAAAAGTGAATGTCCGGTTGGTGGACACAAGGAGTCCACCCAGCGGAGTTGAAAAACCCTGATTCCAAACCAATAGCGCACATGGGCTCCAGTATCCTGCGGGAACAAATGGCGTATGAACCAATCGTTGGTCACCGGCTACCATGGGACTGCATCTCCTGACGTTGCTCCACTGCCTTGTGGATTAGACCTTCAGATCAAAGGCTCGGAAAGTGGCCGCCTAAGAAAATCACCTACTTAGGTTTTGCCACCCAGGCAATATCTCAGCCCCAGTATCCCACAAATAGAAAGATTTATGTGGCGCACATCTATTTGATGCTTCCTTGTGCCAATGTTTATGTGTTTAAATAAACAAATAAAGACCTACACTAGATTTCCAAACTTATTTAGAAAACCATAAACATAATTTTTTTTAAGTAGTGGGCTTTATTTGCTACGGGTTTTTCAGTGATTTATCCGTCTATCTTTTAATTTTTTCATCAACTAAAGCTAAATTATCTTATCAATTAAAATATGTTAAGATTTTTGAGATGTCAAAAAATAACTAACATTTTTACTGTCTAACAATTTGATAATAATGTTTATATAGACCATACCTTCAGATCAGCGTGTACATCATTAGAGACACACACTCACATCCACGATATAATATGTAATTACTGATTATAAATTTTTTAATTATGAAATATTAACTATATTCAACCTGAAAAGGAACTTACATTAACGGTTTCTGACTTCGATCTTAAACGTTGTATGTGCTCCGTAGCTGAACGAGCTCTTTCTGATAGTGCTTGAAGTGATTGAGATAGTTCAGTCTTGAAAATAAAAATAAATAAAAAACAGGTGAAACAATATTAATCAATCAACCACTTGACATGAAAAATTCATTTCAAATTCACTTTAATTTCGGGTTTCTATACATGTAATCTATTATTATTAATTTGAATATCATTTAATAAACTTAAAAACAAGTGGAGTGTAATTTAAGAATATTTCATAAAACTGAACATCTTTAATATATGAACTATTTGTTTTCTGAACGAACCATACACACCTGATATTATCTAATTTTAATTAATCTACAATTACTTACTTACTTACGCCTGTTACTCCCAAAAAGAGCATAGGCCACCGACCAGCATTCTCCAACCCACTCTGTCCTGGGTCGTCTTTTCTAGTTCCATCCAATTCTTGTTCATTTTTCTTATGTCTATTTCCATTTCTCGGCGTAATGTGTTCTTTGGTCTTCCTCTCCTCCTTTGGCCTTGAGGATTCCATGTGAGGGCTTGCCTTGTGACGCAGTTGGGTGCTTTCCTCAATGTGTGTCCTATCCACTTTCAGCGCTTCTTCCTGATTTCTTCCTCCACTGGGATCTGGTTTGTTCTCTCCCACAGTAGGTTGTTACTGATAGTATCTGACCAACGGATCTGAAGTATTTTGTGTAGACAACTGTTAATAAACGCCTGTATTTTCTGGATGATGGATTCCATAGTTCTCCAGGTTTCTGCCCCATACAGTAGAACTGTGTTGACATTTGTACTGAAAATCCTGACCTTGGTGTTGGTTGACAGTTGCTTTGAGTTCCAGATGTTCCTCAGTTGTAAATATGCTGCTCTTGCTTTACCGATCCGCGCCTTCACATCTGCATAATCTACAATACAATGGGCTTAATTTTCCACTAATAAACTAACCTCACAGTGAATGAATTAAATATCCTAACGTTTGCCTATTTGATTACTCAATCACGACATCTACTAGCATAAACACTATTAATCAATTTAAAAATGAATTACACAAATGGTCATTATGCATGATATGTATATATATATATATATATATATATATATATATATATATATATATATATATATATATATATTATTTTATGAGGTTTTAAGTGGTAACAGCTAAGTTCCAAACTTGATATAATCAGTACCGAAATACATGTAAGCGTAGCTAACAAATTTACAAGTATTATATTAAACATATCCTGAAACGAGTAGAACAATAGTTGGTTTATTACTATTTTTTTGCACTACATAGAAACCATTAACTTGTTTTAAAATGTATTAATATTATGAAATAGTCACATTTCGTTGTCCAAAGAATAGAACAGAAATTTTTATTGTTTCTCTTTAGTGCTTCTATCTGATTTCAGGTATGTAATTCACCTGAAATATAAGGTAATTAAATTAAAAAGTACAGTATACTTTTGAAAATAGTTGTCATAAACTCTTCAGTGCGATTCGTTAAATAAACACTAGAAATGTTATGTTAAAATTTACCATAAATAAAGTCCTTAATTACTTAATGAAAACACTTAAACATTAATTTCACTGATTTGTATTACCTTCATAATTTCCTGTATTTGTAGTTATGATTTCCTTTAGTCTTAATAATGTAAATTATGACAACTAAAAAAATTGTAATACATCCTCATTTGTTTATAACTGGATTCTTTTTTTCTTGAGAAGGAATGTAAGAAGGTAAAATAGCCTTTACTATTTAGTGTAAAAATCTTTTTGTTATTTTTAAAAGAACATTAGTGATTATAAACAAATTTGAAATCTATGTTTATTTCTACTAACATTTGGTTTAAGTTTATAGGTATCAATGCCAAGGTCAGATTTGATAGTTTTAAATAAGTTAAGCATTGGGTAGGGAGTGAATAATAAATACATTTATTGTTATATCTTAATGCGTAGAAAAATTGTAATTCTGACGTTTCGTGACTTAATGTAATTCACTTCTTATTTACTTTGAGGAGGTGGCCTATATCAAGTCACGAAACGTCAGAAATACAATTATTCAACTCATAAGGATATAACAATAAAAATATTTATTATCAACGGAAGGGGCTTTTGTGGATGCTATAGTAATTTTAATAGTTGAGATCATGAATCAACTGAAGCTAAACCACCATGAAAAACCTAGAATCACTGAACGGGCGTTTCGTCCTATTGCGGGACTCATCAGTGCGCATTCGAAATCCCGCCTCGCGAGATCCGAACCCGGGACCTATCGATCTCTCGTGACCAATGGAGTTCAACTGAATCTATAATGAGATGGTAAATCACTGAGGATAATGTTGGATGTGTCGCTTATTTCGTGGATTGGTTGAAATTAGACATTAACACCATTGGATGCTGGTCGGCTCAGTGGTCTAGTGGTTAAGCATTCGTGCGCGAGACTGATGGGTTCTGTGTTCTAATCTCGAGAGGTGGGATCGTGGAGCCACAGTGCTGAGGATTCTCACAATTGGACGAAACGGCAGTCCAGTGCTTCCAGGTTTCCAACGGTGGTCTAACTTCAAATGATTCATGATCTCAACTATTAAAATATTTATTATTATTTGTTTTGAACATTTTAATTGATCTGCAAGATTTAATTATATATTCGACCTGAACGTGTTCATCATTTATTCTAAGGTCTTATTTTGAGTCCATGGTGACTTAGTTCCCATTTTTATTCTTACTTATTTAGTTTAAATTATAGGAATTAAAAATTGGTCATTTTTACAATCAAATACTATTTTCGATTGACGCAAACCAATCTTTCGTTTTTCAAAAAAACTAATCCACTTTCTTCAACGTATTCTCTAATAATATGGTACTGAATAAATGAAAACACTGTAACTCATTGAATAGCTTAAAAATTTGCTAAAGTATTGATTCACCATTTAACTGTGATATTCGATTTAAAGTAAAACTCTACCATTAAAAATAAACCTTTAAATTTTATCAGAAATACGTAATTCTATTGAATTAACTAAATACTCCTATTAATTTGATCATATCATTTATGTTGTTGGAAGTAACATAATCCGATCATAAAATCATTGATCGGAGTAACAGTAAATAGATAGTTAAATTTGTTCGCTGTAGACTTTTGTTAGTTTGGAGAATTTGTGGTAATTGCTAAGTTTTATAGTTTACATCACTAACTGACCTTAGATTTCATACCTGTTCAATACTTCTTGGTTTCTAACGATTGCCTAAGCCTAGTCCGTAAATCGAACTACAAAAATTACTGCTGACTTATTCACATTACAATTTCAGACAAAAACCAACTTTAAACCTTTTTTTTTCTTTTGTCAAAGGAATTAAAGTTCTCACATTCTACGATCCAGATTTGTCTAATGACTGGGTGGTTATTACATAATATAATCAATTCAGGTTCTAGTAACATATTTAAACAGCTAAACATTAAAACAATCATTGTCAATGAAATCGCACACGCATACATCAAAATTATTATACTCAGATACATATAAACTATATGTAACACATATACTAGATCTATAACCGAATATTCGAGTTTAAAATTACACAATGCCTTCAGGCTTAAAGCTTGATTTATTTATAAATCTAAATGAATGTAATAAACTCGTTCGAAGTCATCCATCATTTTATTCTATTTTTTCCTTGTGAATATCAAGTATGTAAAAGTTATTTGAAACTTCATTTCAAATAGAAATAATACACACAAAATAAAATTCAATGATCAATTGAATTGATTTTAATTGATCACTATTGTTTATTAATTTTTTTTTCTTCTTACTTCATTCAGCTCGAATGTCCTCAATTAACCTAACTACTCAAATTCTATTTTGGCAAAAATAATAATTCATCATCTTACATTATTATTACCATTCAGAAGACTTAGTACAAATGACCTTTGAAGATTTTCTTTTTGTTCTTCAAATACTAACATTAATCTCTAGTAATAATAATAATAATAATAATAATAATAATAATAATAATCGTATTTAATTATACATATGCATACATTATTGATAGTATTTTAACTTTTCAAATAACTGCTCTGTTTCCGTTCTATTTTATGTTTCTATAAAGGTAAAGAGTTCATTATATTATTTTGACATTAATCAGTTTTATCTAAGATATTTAAAAGAAATTTTAGAGACCTACTTAATTAATGAATGAAATAAAATTTATTTTTCAATGTTTTAAGTAAAATTATTTAGTAGAAGTCTGCATGGTTTTTGTGAAAATTTCGATTACTATAATTCATTGTAGTATTATATGAAATTTTAAGAATTTCTATTTTGGGATCAATATTAGATCACAATTGAAAACCTATATTGATAATTATCATAGGCTCAGTACTGACTAGAATCTGGAAGTAATTCTAGTGAGAAGCCATGACTAGTGAAGATCAATCAGTGTTGGGTGGAGACAGTTATACACCAAAAACAACGGAAGATAGTCACATAATATCGTGGATTGGTTGACGTTAGACATTAACATTGTTGAGTGCTGATTAAATATTCTAGAAGTTAAGCGTTTGCGCGTGAAATCAAAGGTCCTGGGTTCGGTTCCACTGGCGGGACCGTGGATGCGCATTGTTGAGGAATCCCATACTAGGACGAGACGACCATCCGGTGCTTCCAGGTTTTCCATGGTGGTCTAGCTTCAATTAACTCATAAATTCAACTATTAAATTACTATAATATCCGCGAATCCTCTCTCTGATTATAATCATTTTGATAACCTTTCTTCCTTTATAACTAATATTAATCTAATATTAATCGATTCATGATCTCAGTCAAAACTCAACAATCTTTACAACCCTATACTGAGAATTTCTATTTATCTGAATTTGTTCATCACCGTATTCTTAAAGTAATTTGAGTTCTTGAATTTGTGTTCTCACCATGTATCACGATAACAAAATCATATTGTCAATTTTAAAATATTCTGATTCTCAGATTTAACTATGACTTGAGCGTAGTTTTCATCACGAACTGATATACCCTGGAAATCGTTTAAAAAATTTATGAAAAAACGTTTAC